GCACATGCATGTCAGTGTGCATATACCTCAGGTATCAGAACCCTGAGATGTTTTTTCCTCCCCCTCGCTTTATCTGTGGGAATGCAATTTGCAATTTTGGTGCTTTTCAGAAGAAATGGTGTGGTGCAATAGTTGGTGATGTTGAGGTGCCAGTATCACTTTCTGACGCACTAAATTCTGTAGCATCCTTGTGCCAGCACAATGATTAAATGTGATGGCTGCTCTTAAGTAGCGGGCTTGGTGGGATGGGAATCAGTCACCGTTTTGGTGATTTTTTAAGCTGTGAATTATTCAGAAGGTAGAGAAGTGACACAAGCAGGACTAATACTTGCTGTGTAACTTCAGCCCTGCTCATAACAATTTTGCAAAATTTTCAAATGCTGCACGACTTTTCAAATACTCCAGATCTGTCAGGTTGCTTTCTCTTTTGCAGTGTTACAGTATTTTTTTTATTTTTCTGTAGTGCTGCAAAATGTCTTTCCATTTTTTCATTAGTCTAATAACAGTTGCCTATGTATAGAATTCGGCAAATGAAATTTTTGAAGACTCTGGATGGTAAAATGTATTTTTCCCCAAAGTACTTGTATATTATGGTTTATTTTTGTCATTGCTGTGGCACGGACTAGTTACTAAGGTACCAGCTTTTGGTTTTCATCTGGTACTTCCAGTTGCTGCCCTTGTGATTTTCAAGGGTCATCCAGCTGTTCCATACCTGTTTTTTAAAGTCTAAAAGTAACATGTGTACTAGTCCTTCCAGCTACAAAATTATAATCCTTCTGGGCATGAACGTGCCTGCCCGCCCTGCTGAGGAAGGGAAGTTACGACCAGAGTTGAGAAAAAAAGCAAACTACCTCTGTACAGAGCAACTCAATGGTCCCAAAGGTGATCATTCAGGTAGCAAAACAATTTCATTCATGTAAGATTCCCCTATTGAGAACAAATGCCGAGCTGCTCTGGCGCGAGTGCCGCAGCTTGCTTTCCTCCAGGCAGTTTCCTGTTTCCCTGTTCGATGCTTCCCCTCTACCTGTTCGTCAGAACATTTTCTTTCCTTTGTATCTTCCACTTCTCCACTGAAGAAGCTTGCATAGACTTTCTGCTGCTATGTAAAGGGGAAATTTAAGCATACAGGCATTTTTTGGGCACAACCATGGGACACACAGCCTCTTCCAAGTCCACTGTACGTGTGCTTTTCCCTCAGCTCCACAGGCTGACAGAGTCGTATTCTAGGAGGATTTAAAAGTGAGTTTTGATCCAGGTACTTTTCAGGGTTTTCCGAAGTCCTGGAGTGTCCATTTGAAAGCAAAAGATTAGAGTATCCTTAGGAGTCAAGGTTCAAACAATTTCTAGCTTAGGTATGTTAAAAAGGATAAATGAAACATGGCTTGGTTTTTGTTGTTTGCTTGTTTGTTTGTTTTTTTCATATGCAAAGGCATCTTCTCCTTTATTTGAGTTAATACAATTATTTTTTTCAGTTATTGCCTTGTTTTAGTATATTTCAGTGCGCTCTCTTGTATTTAAATCATCCTTATTTACAGTTGAGCAGGATGACAAAAATAACTGTGGTCTCGTAGTGAATCAGTGGAATTTTCCTGCATTTCTCCCCGCTAACTCGTCTGACTCCTAGAGAGCCTAAATGCTTTTGCATTTTTGCTTGCAAGAATGAGGTGGTTTCCCTTGTGCATTCCTGTATTTTTCCCCCTCTTTAAGTCTCACTGGGATTTGGTATTGTTTACTACACAAACAGTAGCTACAGCATTGTGTATCGGGTCATAGATCACTGCCTGAAATTAAGGTTGCTGCATGCCTTATGGGAGGTGGGTTAAAAGAACTCCACAGCCTCGTGACAGCTGATTTAAATGTGTATATTTAGGGGGAGGGGGTTCCAGATCCCCTCAGGGATTGCAGTGTCAATTATATTTTGTTATTGCTTTTGTAGCTATTAGTTTCTTCTCTTTCTTTAATGAAGAAATACTTTTTTTTTTTTTTTTTACACTGGCCCTCTTTTCCTTCTTTCTTTTTTGGCACAGGAAGGCAATCGTTGCTTGTTAACGTTGAAGAGAGGTGGTTGTTTTTAAAAACTCACATTGTCCCCAGTTACTGCAGTTTTGTATCCTCAGATAAAATACCTATTCTGTGAGGAGTCATAAAGATATGCTGTAACAGCTCATCCTCCCATCCCCCCCTTCGCCTTTAGTTATCAACAGTGCGTCAGTGGAAATTTCCACCCTTTGCTAATGTGAGAGAAAGCACAAAGTTGCAATGCAGCCTTTGGAGAAAAAAAAAAATAAAAAACAAAAACCAAAACTATTGCCGTTTTAGGAACACAATGAAAAGCAGCATACGACTTGCAAGCAGAAATGAAATTAAATTCTCGAGAAATGGTGGGACTGAAATGGTGCAGCGAAGAGCACGACTTGCAATGTGAATGAATGCTCTTGCTAAGGGAAAGGGGCATGAAGGTGATGGTGGATCACCAGCTAGAATTTCTCCCCCCATCCTCCTTTCTGTTAGTTGCAGCTGTGAGAGGATTTGGAAGGCTTCTTCCCTAGAAGAAGAGTTAAGTGTCATCTGTTAAATTTACCAGTGGCTTTTAATGGCTTTAACAGAAAATATGACTTTCCCTTTTTAAGGGATGTGCATCCTTCAGATGTTGCTGTGCAGTAATTCTAACAAATTGTCTAAGCTTAAATTTTTTTTCTCTCCCTACACTTTTAACTGGTTGGCATCTCTTCATTCTAGAGACCAGAAAACAGTAGGTAGTTCAATTTTCCAAATATATTAAGCCAAATCCTGTTCCCCATTGAAGCTGGTGAGGATTTGCAAGGAGGGTTGAGCTCACGAGTTCCTCCAAATCCTTCTTGAGGCAAGTAATTCCTGTAGCTCTCAGTAGCCCTGCTGCAGTCAGAGGAGCAGCACCTCCACTGATGTGACCTGGCACTGGTCCCTCAGCTTCCATGACAATTGGCCACAGCCCACACCAGCTGAGCACCTTTTCTGGAGGTCTCATTGCTTTGGTATGGGCTGCAGGGAGACTTTTTCCATCAGACCCCTCACATATGAGAAATTAGTGCTTCTGCGTGTTTTTTTCTGAAAAAGACTTCAGAGCTGAATTGTAGCTATTAAGATTTTCAGGGTTAGGATGTCTGGTTAAGAGAAGTTTCTTTGCTGTCTTTTGTATGGGTGGATTCCACCCCTGTGCAGTAATCCAGCACACACTGCTTGAGTCATTTCTAGCCTAGCAGGTCTCCTCTGTGTGTAATATTTTTGATGCAACACATTTAGTTGGATGAAACTGAGCTCCATGCAGCATGAAGAACATGAGTGTCTGTTGTACATGACCCTCCTGCTGAGACTTGGAGTTCAGCTTCTGGTCTTGGAGACTTACCATTCAGGATTACCTTGATGAAGGTGGACTCACGCTATAGTTGACTTAGTAAGAATCCATACTCTTGCAGAAGAAATTCTTCTCTGTTAGGTAGAGTTTTTAAATCAAACTGGGATGCTTGATCCTGCTTGGGTAATATGACTTAATTTAAGGGATATCACTTTCAGGTTATATTGATCCTTCATGGGGGAGTATGCTTGAGTGGACCAGGAAGAAAGGAGAGCTTTAATAAGAGGATGAGTAAAGATTAAGATGAAATAGCTAGGTGGGAAGTGCTATGCTGTACCTTTAGCCTTTAAATTACTGCTAGTCTTGGAAACAAGGTGAGTGGTTAGTTCTCCTCAGTAGGATTTCTCAGACAGTTGTGATGTCTTTTTACTGTACTCTAGTTAGTGCAATGCCAAATGCAGACAAAGTGATGAGAAAGCGTTCTGTTCCATTGACAATGCTGGTTCATTCACAGCATTTCAAGGGAGGAGGGATGATCAGTGACACGGTTTGCTCATTTTTTACATTAGTATGATGACTGGTACTAGGTCACTCGTAACTTGAAGGAACAATAGACATAATGTTGCTTATTAATTTAAGGTACATCTCATGTTATGAGATGGGATCTGAATTTGCATATCTGAGATTAAGTTAATACACAGTGTGTAGTTGTGTCCCTTGTCTGAAATGGGTCTCATGAAGTGCAGTAGACCTTGTTGCTTGTTTGTGTGTACTGGAGTATTAAAAGCCTCTTGCAAAATTGTAGTTGAGCTCATGAAGAAGGTTCAGTTCTTCAGCAAAGGAGTTTATTGCAGAAGTGATCTCAGTGACCTAAGATACTAATGGGGAGAAACATTCTCCTTTCCATAGACAGGCAGTTGGCTTTTTCTTTGTGGATGACAGATAGCTGTGTGGTGGATGTGAAGTGCTCACCTGGAGCAAGAGTGTTAAAGCGTGCCATGCATGTGTGGAAGTTGGATCTTTCCAGTCCCGCCAAGGTCAGCGCGACAGTACACTCGTCAAGTGCCAACTGCACAGGTCGGCATTGCCTGTACTCAGCTTCAGCTTCTGCCTTCAGATTGAAAGTTTAAGACATGTTCACATCAGAGATGTGCCTGATTTGGGATAAGTCCATCTCCTTGGGTTTCTTTTGCTGTTTTGTTTTAATGTCCATTCTGCTCTGAAGCAGAACTTAAGGAAGAAATGCTGTATATATTTAAGCTTGAGATGTTTCACACTGGTATCTGTTCCCCAAAGAAACAATGCTGTGAATTCGAAGGAGAGTGCTTGTTGTAACTGAAATGAATGCACCACCCTACCTCTTTTTAAAGGCTATTCAGATCAAGGTGTGGAAATGAATGGAACAGGTCAAGAAGAGTAAGCTCTCTTTAATCAGTGGGAAAGCACTGCTGTACAATGAAGAAAAGTTCAGGCTGAGCCTGCTTCATTTGAACTGTTCTCATTTGAAATCAAGATAATACTGAGCTTTAACTTAAAACAATTTTGGTGCCAAAATGTAAGAAAAAATTAGAAAGATTCATTTAAGAAATCCCAAAGGAAAGTTACTTGAATGAAAGTTGTTGCAGTCCAGGTATTTTTTTTATTGTGTGTATGTTTCTCATTGCAGGTATTTTTTGATAGACTTAGAGGGCCCACCTTCGATTGTATCGACCATGATGGATCATTTAGGACGCGATATTGATGTAATTAGACGTGCTTTTATAAAGCATCCTGTGTCAAAGACAGAAGAATGCAGTGGCATAATCCCAGTCAACTATGAAGATAAACTAATTGCCAAGAAGAAGTGAATATTCCAAATAGCATGTTTGAAACTTTTTTAAAAAAAATTTTATTCCTGCTTTGGAAAATGATTGTGGTAACTAATGTCCATCGAAGATAATCAGTTTTGGCTGTGTTACATGTGTGGTATAGTACACTATCTTAAGTTATTGTAACATTTGAAGTTTCTTTTTGTTTCAAGTAATTTGAATAGACTTAATCTGTATGCTTATCTTGATATTTGACAGCTCTGAAAATTGATTTTCTTTTCTCTTAGAGCATTACATTGATAAGGAAAATTTATCCATCATCAGAATGCTAAAAATAGCATTCTTCTCTAAAGACAGATTATTTCAGAATATGTGTATTTACATAAGAGATTAAGAAGTCGACAGTGTAAATACAGCAGTATGGGATGTGATTTGTTGGAGGGGGATTTTTTTGCTTGTTTTTGGAAAAAGGTAATAAAAGCATGATTAAAAATAAAACTTGACTCATTTTTAAAAGCAGAAAAGAAAAAATAACTTACACTGCCAAAAGACACGTCATACTTCTTTAAGGTAATAACTCTGTTCAAAGTACAGGTAAAAAAAAATATTCTTTATAGAAAAGGGCAGAGACTTCTAGGTGGCACGTTAGAGGATAACCATGCTTATTTATAAACAGAAAAATAAAAGACGCTTTGTTTTACTTAGCTAGACCCAGGTGGACATTTAAAACTGAGGAAAAAAAATAGGAGGAAGGTCTCTATCGTATATTTTGTCTTTCTTTTGCCCTTGTAAAAACAGGAGAAACAGCAATGCCTGTGAAAGATGACATTAATGTAGTACAATCTCCTGCAGGTCTGACATAAATTCAGTAGTTTCCAGAGGATCTCCAGGTTTCCCCCATGGTACTGAAGGAATGCACTGGCCATTTCTTCCAGCTAAGGAGTGTGTGTGTAATTCCTATAGAAAAAAAGTAAGTTGACACAGATAAGTTGTTAGGCAAAGAGGATGTTCTTTACCTAAATAAGCTTAATCTAGAAGCTGCCTCCTCCAGCGCTCCCAGTGTTGTGCGTTGCCAAAGGGATGGCCAGCGTAGAGGCCAAGGTCAGGTTCCCAGAGACCTGTGACAAGCTGCTCTCTAGTGTGCTATTTCATCACAAGTTTGTTCTTTTTTGTGGCAGTAGCTGGGTAATTTTTTGGGGGGGATGCTGCTTTTTTGGTTTTTCAGATACAGAGCTTCGGAGTCAGAAGAAATGGGCATTTCTTCTGAGTATCTTCTTTTTTTAAGGAAAAAGTGAATTAGAAAAAATGAAAGAGGAAACTTTCTCTCTGCTCATCTTTATTTTGGAGACATGAATGTGTGTGTTTTTGGTTTTGGTGGTTTTCCCTCCCCCCACTGTGGTTTTTATTTTTCTGTTTTTAAATGTGTTTTTCTTTTAAGAGCAGACTGTCACATTTTGTCTCTTCTTTCCTGGAAAAAAATGTTGGGAGAATAGAGAGAATGCACTGCACACTTACTGAAGCCAGATCTCTATTAGGTGTGCTTTTTCTTTGTAGTTATTGCCAGTTTCGATCATGTGGTTGCTGTGCGCGCCAGTGCCTGCTCCAGGCAGAACTTTTCTTATCAATGATTTTTTTCTTGTAGGACAGACCTTCCTTCCACGCGGGTGTGAACTTAGCCAGGAGGAGCTGTAGGTTTTTATGTCTATGCTACAGGTTTGGCTCCCTGAGCTGCCCTTTCTGGTGAACTGCTGAAAATTCAGATTCACAGCGTAGAAAGCACGAACTACAAATAAGGAAACACAGAATGCTTTAAAGAATGTGCTTTACTCAAAAGTTTCTCAGAAGCTTTTCTTAAACAGAAAGTGAAAAGAAAGTCTATAGTTTAAAGTCACTTTGCCTCTGGCTAGGACTTTGGGTCCTAGATTTTATTTTAGTAGAAAGGAGAATATATAAGCCTTCAGCTTCACAAAATGAAGAAGATTGATAATAGAGGCTATACATTTATGAATGTTGTATGTTTGTCTTTATTCAATTTCCTTTAATGTAGTATTAAATTTTGCATTTAATTTGTTCTGATTTCTAGGTTGATGCCTGCATTCAGTAGGAAAATCACAGAATCACGGAATGTCAGGGATTG